ACAGTGTAGATAATCTTCTAAATTGAGCATCTGAACTTATAAATTCTTATACTGATCATCAACTTACTTCATATTACAAGTCCTAGCTGCAGAAAACCCACAATCCTCTTGCAGTGGCAATAGTTAAATCCCGACATAGAAGCACAGAGGTTTACACTGGAACAGGCTGTTATTTGATTCATTATGCTGGATTTTCACTGGAATAATCTGACACTACACTGCCTAGTCTCTCTCAGCTCATTCTCTTCACCAACTTCAAAGATGTATCTATGTTAGCCTTAAAAAAAAATAGTTGATGTCTTTTAATGCTCCTGTCAAAATATCTTTTTCAGGTTCTTCAAGAAAGTATCTCATGCCACTCCATTCAATTACCATTACCTTTTATAGCTACGCACTTAAATTTTACTTATCTTATTGAAAACCTTTGCCTTATGCTTCAAATGGGACTCCAATTTTCCTTAGTTTCAGAGACAATGGCATAGCCATAATGTCACTGACTAGTACGCCAGAGACTAATGTTCTGAGGACATGGGTTTGAATGCCACCATAGCAAATGGTAAAATCTGAACTCAACACATCCAAAATTAGAAGCTGGTTGAATGGAAACCATGTAACCATGATTGATTATCATAAAAACCATAATATTTCACTCATGTCCTTTAGGGAAGGAAATCTGCCATGCCCACCATCTGACACACAGCAATACATCTGCTTCTTAACTACCCTCTGAAATGGCAGAGCATATCATTCAGGTTACTGGAAATTAGGGGTGAGCAACAAATGTTAGCCTTGTCAAAGAAATCCATGTCCCATGCAAGAATATTAAAAATACTTAATTTTAGACTCTATTGAATTCCCAAAATCAAAATCCCACACTGGGGATACACTACAGTACAGAAAAGAGAAAAGCTTCTATCTAAGTGACGAGACACTCTTCATTTCAAGTCTCCGACTTTCTTTATTTTTTCTCCTTTACAAGTTTGCTTGTTCCATTTTATTGAAATAATTAACTTAGAATCTTCTGAGGAAACTGGCTAAAGTTGTAAATGTGTCACTCTATATACTTTTTCTCTTTCCTAAACAGTTGTGATCAAAGTTTTTTCTCTCAATTTTCAATGCACTCTTCCTTGGATTCAAAACTGTGAAAGCACATGGTCATCCTTTACCTTTTTTGATTTAAAGGCCTTTTTAAGAAAGATTATAAAAATGGAGAAAATATTGGAAAAACTTGGAAAAAAATCAGTTAGCATCAGTAAAGAGAAAAGTCACTATGTTACCACCATGTGCTCTGATACACGCACATGCAACATGGTAACCCATTCCCTATCCTCTATAAATGTGTTAATTGAACTGTTTCACCAACACTTTCTTGTTTTTATTTCAGATGTGCAGTCTTTGTTTTCCTTGGTACTTCTAAAACTTGGTGTCACCTAAACACAACTTTCTGATTAATCTCATCCCTTTTATTCTGCACTATCACTTATTTTAGGAAACATCAATTTAAAAAAGCACGGTTGGACCATTCATTAGATTTTTTTTAAAAGTTCTAAAGTAAATACAACACTTTTTAACACTGAATACACTTTTACTGTAGATGGAACTCTGTTTAACATGTGGAATAACAAGTGCAAAGTAATTAAATATTTTCTATCTTCAGTACTTTTGCAAACAAATTGATTTATCCAATATATATCATCCATTAGCAGAGAGTTTTGATCTATTTTTAAAGGTAAAATTTTACAAATCAATTCAATTTTGATGAAATATCACAGATCTGAAATGCTAATACTGTTTCTCTCTCCACAAATGCTGTCAGTATTTTCTGTTCTTATCTTAAAAGCTACAATTGTATCTTGTATCAATCCATAATAAAGCATATGATACAAAGTCTGAAGGAGTTTTAAGGAAAACTCACAGCAGGCAGCAAGGAATAGGGATAGCAAATAGAAACCTCAGCAGCAACACTGAGCAGAAAAAAAGCGGTGTTTCAACAAAACAACTCTAAACCTGTGCATTACCAATCTGTTATTTCCCATTCCATGTGCTGATTTCTCAACATGTTCAAACTCTCCCAATAGCCACCCAAAACGTTTGCCCTTCATTTTTGTGGGTTGAATGTGATGCTGGTTAAGATGTTTAAGGCCATCCTCATTCCTGTGCGAACTGCAGTCCAGGTTGGCCGAATGCTTTCCATTTTAATGTCTTATCCCTTATTTCAACTGTTTGTCCTATGTTCCTTAAGAGATACTTCTTGCACCACATTTCCACTGGTCTGCTTGTGGGACACTGCTCCTAGGAATTTCCAGTGTATGAGTGATTTGAGCAGACTACAAGTGAGAGAGGCTGCCAGCAAAGATATATGATACTGTTGACACTCAACAAGTTGCAAGTTTCAGACCCTCCGCCCACACTGGCTGAAGTGCCTCTACTTTATATAGTAAAAGCCAGGCACCCTGACAGTACATAGTTGAATCTTCGGTCACTTATGGACTGAGAAAAGGCAGATCAGTGATGGACTTCATTAGCAAGTGCGTAGAGGCCTGTGTGCCAAAGAAGTCAATCCGTATGCTCCCCGAATGGAAACAATGGATGAACAGGAAAATCCATTGCCTACTGAAGACGAGGCATGCCATGTTCGAGTCAGATGACCCGGACCTTTACAGGAAATCCAAAACGACCTCCACAAAACCATTACTGAGGCCAAGAGGCAATACTGGACTAAGTTAGAGACCCAAACTAACCACACGGACACCTGCCATCTGTAGCAAGGCCTACATGACATAATGGGATACAAAATGAAGCAGAACAGAAAGGCGGACAAAAACACATCCCTCCCTGACGTGCTCAATGCTTTTTACACTTGGTTTGAGCAGAAGGCTAGTGAAATGGCATCACCTGCCCTGACAGCCCTGGACACACCTGTTCTCTCCGTCACTGCTGCAGATATCAGATCAGCCTTCTGGAACTCAAGGAAAGTGACTGTCCCAGATGGAGTCCCCAGCCGTACACTCAGATCCTGTGTGGACCAGCTGGTGGGAGTGTTCACTGACATCTTTAACCTCTCCTTGCTACAATCTGAAGTTCCCACCTGCTTCAAGAAGACCACTAAAATCCTGGTACCAAAAAAAACACATGCAATGTACCTCAATGACTACTGTCTGGTGGCTCTGACCTCCATAATTATGAAGTGCTTCAAGAGGTTAGTCATGGCTGATATCAATTCTAGCCTCCCAGCCAGCTTCACTCACTTGCAGTTTGCCTACCGGCACAACAGGTCCACAGCAGATGCCATTTCCCTAGCCCTACACTCATCCCTGGAACATCTGGATAATAAGGATACCTACGTCAGGCTTTGACTTATCAACTACAGCTCTGCCTTCAAAACTATAATTCCAACCAAACGAAACTCCAAACTCCAAGACCGAGGTTTCTGCTCTGCCCTCGCAACTAGATCCTCAACCTCCTGACCCATAAATCACAATTAGTGAAGACAGACAGCAAAACCTCCTCCATAGCAATCCTAAACACCAGCGATCCACAAAGATGCGTGCTCAGCTCCCTACTGTATTCCCTGTACACTCATGACTGTGTGGCCAAATTTTGTCTGAACTCCAACTACAGGAAGCTACATGAAACTACATGGCTTCAGGAAGCAAGAAGGAGGACATGCCCATAGTTACATCAATGGAACTAGGTTGACAGGGTCAAGAGTGTCAAGTTTCTAGGAGTGACAATAACCAAGAATCTGACCTAAATCACTCACGTACATTCAACTGTCAAGCAGGCATAACAATGTCTCTTCTTCCTCAGGAGGCTAAGAAAATTCAGCATGTCCATAAGAACTCTCACCAACTTTTACAGATGCTTCATAGAAAGCATTCTATCAGGACAAATCAAGGCTTGGTCTGGCAACTGCTCTGCCCAGGACTGTAAGAAACTACAGAAAGTTGTGAACATAGCCCAAACCATCACAAAAGCCAACCTTCCATCCACAGACTCCATCTACACTTCTCGCTGCCACGAAAAGGCAGCCAACATCATTAAAGACTCCTCCCACCCTGGTTATAATCTCTTCCAACCTCTTCCATCAGGCAGAAGATAAAAAAGCTTGAACATGTGTACCAACAGATTCAAGAACAGCTTCTTCCCCGCTGTTTTTAGACTGCTGGAGGGACCTCTCGAATTTCAAATCAAATCTTGCTTTAGTACACTTTCTGTGCAGGCGTAACCTTATATGCCTCATTCTGTTCAATCACCCTATGATCTGCATTTCCTTGTATGTTATGATCTGCCTGTACTGCACGCAAAACAAAACTTTTCACTCTACTTAGATACATGTGACAATCATAAATCAAATCAAATCAAAACAAAACAAATCAAAATCAAGTTTTGTGGTGGCAGGATGGGCAAGGGGGCGGACAGCAGGCAGAGAGACAGGAGGCAGGGAGTGGTACAGGGGCAGAATGGAGAAAGCAAGGGATGATTATACTGATGCATTGATTAACAAAAAAGGAAATATCCACTGCTGCAGATCCCCTTGGCAGCTGGTGCCTAACCTTTGGAGCCTCTCTCTTTCTATCTCTCCTGAACTCATCTTCCAAACCGGGTTACTCACACCCCTCCAAAGACAAAGCTGATCTACCTGGAGTCGCTGCACACGGCTGTCTCCCCTCCCATTAACCACCAGTTACATACGCCCCTCCAAAAGCAAAGCTGATCCACCTGGAAATGCTGCACACGGCTGTCTCCCCTCCCATTACCCACCAATTACACAC